GTATTGTAACTCTCTTAAGGATTGGTTATAGCTGAGTACTTGCAAGATATTTGAGTTCCATATTTATTTGCCCGCAAATTACCGCTCCACTTCGTTTCGTATATTCTTTTTGCTTTATTATATAATGTTACAGGTTATATTATATATGCCCCGCCGTATCCTCGTCACTACCTCGTCGAGGTTAGGCTCGGCACTTACTAGTACATCTGTCGGAGCTGGTTGTGGTTGATCGAGAGGTCAGTTGCAGATACTTCATTCAGGAGACCCAAGGTAGTCCTGCTCGCGTCCTTAGGCCCTGGCGTCCCCTCCTATGTTTTCAACATTCCTGTTCTATTTTCTCTCGAGACAGATGTACTTTTCTTTCAGACTAATAGTTGTAGATATTCTTAGTATGTTTGTGGATTGTGACACCAGTTTTTGCGTTGTAATAGTTTTCAGTATTTGTTAATAATATATGAATAATCAGTAAATTTTGTGCTTCCGCAATTACTTCCATTTGATTTTAGCTTTGTTGGTTCCAATTATAAAATGTAAAGGAAAAAATATAAATAGAACTCTAACGTTGGCTTGCCTAGCGAGTGCGATGTTAGGCACTACTATGGTCCCGACGGTGGAAATTTTGGGTCGTGGCACTTATGATGTTCCGGGTTTTGGAAATACTGTGTATGTTTGAGAGTTGGTTGTTGTATATGACGAGCGGCATTTATATTAGTTATTAATTATCTGTTGCAGTTAGTTGTTAAATTTTTGCTTCATTTTCATTATTCCGCAAATGTTAGGCTTACCTAATCGTAGAGATTAGGCGCCATCACGATATCTTACGGAGGGAGATTTGGGCGTGACGCTAATGGGAACCAATTCAGAAAACTAGAAATGTTTTCCTTGTGACTTTGAGTATGGTCACGACCAAAGCCACAACGTCATAGCAATAAATTTGGAAGAAAGTGATAAAATCGGGTTCTACTTTCTCATCATCACCTATCATTTATTTTTACAAATGTTAGGATAAAAACTTATTTTGTGATGATCTCATATGGACCGGGAAAAAAAAGTTGTTGATATACAATTTGATGGCATGCATAAATATATATGGATGATTATTTTCAAGACCATATGATATGAGTTAAGCTTATATTAATACTTGAAAATTATTTTTAGATCAAGAAAATAATATGTATATCATTTTTATATTCATAAAATTTACATATATTAGTTTGATAAGAACAAGAGATCAAACTATAATGATTTAGATGGAAAGTCATTTGAAAAGAAGATTAAAATCTTCGTAACTTTCTACTCCCTCTTTAGAGACTAGAATCTTTGTGATTTTTACTCATGCTTCGAGATTAAAATCTGTGTGATTTTTTACTCGTTTGTTGAGATTAAAATTTTCGTGACTTTCTACTCATTTGTCGGAGATTAAATTCTCAGTGACTATCTACTAGGTTTGAAGATTAAAAAATTTCACATTTATTAGATCTGGTTATATAAGATATTATTCGGTTTGAAGATTAAAAACTTCAATATTTATTAATTTTGGTTGTGTTAGATTAGTTTAAAGATTAGAACCTTCACCGACAGGGCGAATTTATGGCCTATTTTATGTGGCACGTGAACCCATGATCTTCTTCCAAATTAGGTATTTTATATACATATTTATAAGAATTGATCTAATATTATTTGCTGAAACCTATGCTCTAAAAAGGCTAAATGGTGCACTTGGTTGAATGCTTAGTTATTTACCTAGAGGAGCAGGGATCAATTCCAACTTAGTACTTTCTATTTTCTCCTTTCTTTAGTGGTGCACCTATGTTATAAAAATCCTAGATCTGCCTCTGCAATCACCGGTCATTAATTCTGGCTCTGCCGTGACACAAATAACAGTTCATGAGTTTCTACAAAGTAATAGGGGTGGTAAATATGAATCTCCTTTTAAACAAATATGTTTGAAATATCGCATTACACACCAAACAATGGCCCCTTATTCGATGCAATCTAATGAATTCGCGGAAAGCAAGAATGAATATTAAAGGAGATGATGAATGCCTTGTTGATAAGTTCTGGTTTACCACAGAACTTGTGGCGGGAAGCTATCCTTATAGCTAACTGAATACTCAATCGAGTACCCCATAGTAAAACACAATCTATTCCACATGAAAAATGAAAAGGAAGAAAGCCCAACTTGAAATATTTCAAACTGAGAGGATATTTGACTAAAGTGCAAGTTCTTAAACTCAAGAATAAGACGAGATTGTGTTTTTATATGATATGCAACGAATAGTGAGGCATATCATTTTCTGGTTCACAAATCAGATCTCGATATTTATATTAATACGGTGATCGAATTAGATAATGCTGATTCTTTGAGAATATTTATCTGTATAAAAAGAAATATGAGTTGTCTAGTAAAAAAAATAAAAATCTAAGAGTTCTGGAGAAGAAGCAGCGGAAAGTACGTTTAATGAGAAAAATCTAAGACGCAGTAAATGTCAAAGGACAACAACTTCCTTTGGGCCAGATTTTCCAACAGTCTTGTTGAAAAATGAGCCTCAAATGGTTAAGCAAATTTTTTTTTTTGAAAAAGACAGTCATTGGTGAGATATAATCCATATTAAATAACCATATTTGGGAGTTAGTTGATCTTACTTTAGGGAATGAATGGTTGGATTCAAAATGGATTTTCAAGAGGAAAATAAAGGATGATGACACTATTGATATGTATAAGTCAAGACTTGTTGTCAAAGAGTGTAGACAACGGGAAGACATTGACTATTTTGGCATATATTCATCGGTTACGAATATTACATACATATGAATGTTAGTAGCATTAGCTACGGTATTCGGTCTTGAAATCCATCAAATGGATGTGAAGACACCTTTTTTAAATTTGTTATTTGGAGAAAGAAATCCACATGGAACAACCAAGGGTTTGTGGTTCCTGAAAAAGAAAAGAAGGTGTTTAGACATGTTAAGTCTCTTTATGAACTAAAATAGCACCCAAACAATGACATGCGAAATTTGACCAAATAATATTGTCAATGGTTCAAGATTAATGAGTGTAAACAAATGTGTTTGCATTAAGAATACTCCAAATTATGTAGTCATTATTTGAAATAATAGAAAAGGCACATGTAATATTTAAAATGCGGAGATGTTTAGCTTATGCATGATAAAAGCTAATGTTAGACGCAATTTTTATATTATTTAGAAGAACTTTGATATGATAGAATTTTGTCAACTCTTGGTAATGAGTTTAAGCTCCATATTGTCATGAATTATAAACGACAAAACTAAGACCTTGGCCAAAGTAATTGAATGAAAGAAGAAAAGAGTTTCTTATGTCATTAATGATCGATTATATTTGACATGAACGCATAGTTGGTCGCCTATTAGGATTTGACAGTTCAACCATATCCTAGGGTGACTCAGAGCTATAAGGACAAGAGGAAATACTACATTATTCATTTATTGGTTCTTGAGAGTAAATTGTATACTTCATTCTATCTGGTCATTAAGGAGTGTTGCTAGACGTCACCCTTGATTAGTATATTAATATGATTAATTTACTACCAGTTAAATATTGAACCTATAGGGTCGCACACTAACGAGTGTTCTGATCTTTGTTAAATGATTAATTAGCTTATTATTTGACAATTGAATTAAAGAATTTAGTTAGTTAAATAAATAAAAAGTTATTAGTCCAAATGAAATATTGTTATATTCTTTGCTAGCACAGAGAATATAATTAATATTGTGAATAAATTGATGTTTTCTATTTGGAATAGAAAATTAATATATTCCTTGATTACAATATATATGTGATATATCATTAATACTTATTTTATATTAAAAAATGTTACATAAAATAATAATAAAGGACTTGCTAGCTAAATCCAATTTTGAATTGGATTGGTAACGTGAAAGTCTATGAAGACGTGAAATCTAATTGGAAATGGATTCCAAAAGGAACGTACACGGAAACTGAAGACAGACTAAGAAGCCCACGAGAAAATTGTATTCTGATTAAATCCTTGTTTTCAAGAACTATGACTTTTCGAGCACAAGTTTTCTTTTCTCATCTAAAGGAGTTGCGTAATTATGCCCTCATATTAACTCCTCTAATTTTACAAGACATCCCGGTGCAACTTTTTTTTTTTGATCTTTCATCTTAAATTTAGAAGTTTAATACTTCTTAGTTCCATGCCTGAGAGATAACGTTAGTTCAATAAATAAAATATAAAATAATTTCGAATCCAACAATTCACAGAACTCAACACACGGAGCAAATTATACTTGACAGTTTGTTTATTTGCAAAATAATGCAACAATGTAGAAAGAGGGGAAAAATTTTCAGATTTTTCATGTATAAAATATATGACCCAAGCCTCTAAATTTATAGATAATAAGAGAATGAGACGAAGAGGTGCAATCCAAGAGATGTCTCTTCTATTTCGCATCCGCACTCTTTAAAAAATAAAAACCAACAGTCTATATTTATAAAATGCCGAATGCGTTCAAGTGGTGCGACGATGATTCATTCTGATAATATTTTCACGTTATTGGAATAAAGACTTGCTCCTTGAGTCATCCTCTCAAACATGGACTAAGAGCAAATAGATTGACACGTAAAAATATTTCTATTTTGTGGTAGCTGTACACTGTTGTATGTTATTCAAAAAGATTCTGGTTCAAAAGCCCTGGGCTCAGTTTACCCTTTTCTTCATTTTTTAATTACTGTACTATTCTGCCAATTTGCGTGCATCAGTACCTATTATCTCCTATCTGTACAAGTATCGGATATACTTAAAGTATAAATCATACATAGTTTTATTATAACATTATTTTAGAGGTCTTTTTCTTCATCTCTATAAGGAGTATTTAACATGGTGAATATTTCAGAAAAAGCCCCTAACTAGAGTACGGAGTAATCACTGCTAGCAAAGGTGATTGCCTACGAATAGTGATGCCAGTGCCTTCAGTCATATCCAAATCCTCCCCTTTCATCCTTTCTGGTAATGCAAAATTGAACTTGTGCACAAGCCTTGCTAATGCTAGCTCATTTACAATAATACCAAAAGCAATAGCCCCTCCTGCCTGCACCAAAGGGAATCAATTCAAAGTTTAGTCCTTTGACATCAATATCACTATTCAAGAACCTCTCTGGTCGGTACTCCTACGGATTTTCCCACGACAATGTATCTCTTCCGATTGCCAAAGCATTAATAATGACTTGAGTTTTAGCAGGGATATAATAGCCTAGTAATTTTACGTCTTCCATTGATTCTCGAGGAAGTAGTAGTGGATTTGGTGGATGAAGCCTAAGAGTCTCTTTGATCACTGCTTTAATATACTGCATATTTCCTAAGTCATCTCTGATTTCCCTTGGACTAATTGTCGCACTTCCTTCTGTAATTTTTTTATGGCTCTTGGATGTCTCAAAAGCTCTGTTATTATTCACTCTAAAGCTGTATAAGTTGTATCCGTACCAACAGCAAATGTATCCTATGCATTAAAAAGAAACACAAATAAGATAAATAGCCGAGGCTCCATTTTTACATCCAGAGTTTTCCAAAATTTGAAATACAATCACTAACCATGGGTGGATGAAGCATTAAAACAGTTGGTGTAGTTTCACCATTGCTTTTCTTCATGAATAAATAATTAGTATAGTATTTCACATTCATTGATTAAAAATTAATTCAAATAGCCGTCCACCCAATCACTTAAACTAAAAATAGCCTGTGGAGGTATAATATATGCATAATTTATGTATTATATGTGTATAACCAATATATAATCTATATACATGGCTAGAAAAAGTAAACAACGAATATGACCGGCTATTTGTGTAAAGATCCATAACTTATAGAAAATATCACAGGCACATACCATAACAAATATTTTAAGACACCAAATTTTTAATTATGGAACAACACTAATACAATTCAAAATGTCAATTCGTAAAAAAAACAGACTTAAGAAGGGAAAAATGCATAAAATATGCATGTCATGTTCTTACGGCCTATGAGTCACTGTTCGAGCATAAACATTCATAATTTGGATTTGATGGTTGAATATATTGTACTTTTGAAATTATGAGTTTAGAATTAATGTTTGTAATGTTTTTAATCATGCACGCACGCACACACAAAAAAAATATTCCATGTGGAAGTAAGAGAGGCTTACCAAGAGAATAGCTTTCAATGAATCCCTTTGTAGAGGATAGCCTGTTTCATCTCCATTAATCTGAATTTCCAACAAAACGTCCACGAAATCTTTAGCTTCCCCCGAGCAGTATTCTCCTTTTCTGATATGTTCTTCAATCACATTCTCCAAAAATGTGTCCGTCTCTTTTGCTGCTTTCTCCACTTTGGTGTCAAGACCACTAATTTTATTGAACCATTCAAGCCACGGAATATATTCCCCGACGTTGAATGTACCTAAAAGGTTCACAAATCCATCTAGGGTGGCATTACCATTTATTCCACTTTCCCCTTCATTATATTTCCTCCCTAAGGCCACTCTGCTAATTATGGTATTAGTCAGAGAACAGAAAAAATCTCTCAAATCTATCACTGACCTCGAAAATTCACACTCTTGTCTATTATTTTCAATCATGTTCGATATTTCTTCTTCTAAGACATCACGAAAAGATTGGACTCTTTTGTTGCTAAGAAGGTGAAGCACAGTAACACTTCTAACTTGCCTCCAATATTCACCATAGGGACTAAACGCCACATCCTTGGAACCATAAAAAAGTCTATCAGCCATTTTAGATTTAGGTCTATTTGACCAGACAAGGTCGTGGGTTTTCATGATATCACGAGCAGCATCTACAGAGGAAGCAACAACCATTGGCTTACTGCCCAGGTGAAGTAGCATAACTGGACCATGTTTTTCTGATAGTTTATGTAGGGAAATGACACAAAAAATTACAATAATAATACTGTAATAATATTATTTGAGAGCAGATACACTAATTGGCTTGAGTCGTGCTAGACACTGTCCTAAGAAACTATTTCAGCAATATGAAATGTTTTCCTAGGATTAAACAAGCCCATCTCCATTTGGGAGGATACATGAATCAGCAAAATTTTGAATTACAAACCCAGCTATTTAAAAGAGGGAACAAACAAAGTAGACTACAAATATTTTTAGAAGGAAAGAAAAGAAAGCTGAGAGGACCGAAAGAGGCAAAGCAAAATGTGTTGATACTTGATGGCTATTTTGAAGGCCTATTTATCGGTAAAAAGAGCAGCCTAGAGTATGACAAGTGTACAACACTTGTCTTCAATTTCTCATGCAAAAATGTCATATGGAAGGACATTTGTCCAAAGTATGCTACATGGAAGGACATTTTTTCAATTTTTTGGAAATATCACAACAGTTCCCCCACATATTTTCAAAAAATTCATACAAAGAAGAGTAAGATTTGCTGGATTTGTATGGTCCAAATGCAATGGTTTGGTGTCTTTCGGACTATGAACCAAACTTAGACCAATAAAACTTAACTCACAGAATTACTAGTAAAATGTAATATTTCTATCAACCAATAATTCTTATTGTAAGTCAGAGATTTTATCAATCACATTTTGATCCCCGATAATTTTGTTGTTCAACGCGGTTTTGAGCCCAATAGGCCATGCGCGTGCCTGGTTATTCATGAGAGCTCTAGAGACTAGGCCAAAATCTCATAGGAGCCGCCCACTCCACTCTCATATAGGTGAATTCATCAAGTGTATACTGTTTTTAAATACACCATCCATAAGGACTATGAATTTCATTAAGAGTTATAACTCAGGATCTCAATTAGTAGCAGTCAAGCACTCTCTTTTAGGGTATCAGTGCCAATATCGACTTGTTATTACCCATATGAACATACTTCATGGGATCTCCAATCACATAGGCTAGGTTACCATTTCTATTGATAACATGTCGGCCTTAACCTCATCTCTTTAGAGGTTTGAAGAATTAATTTTCTTCCCACATGTTTAGTCAGAGGATCGGCCAAATTTATCTACTTCACATAATCAATAGAAATTATTCCATCTCTCAACAGCCGTAACGAGACAATTATTCAGCATGTGTTTGTGGGGTGGGGGGTGGGGGAGTAAGTTACTAAGAGGATTTGGTGATCATTTCTGGGTATTAGTACTATAATTGTTGAGAATGATTTGGAGGTGTCTGGAGTATCAAACCACCCAACATAGTACGCCAGGATGAGATTATGAGATGCCTTCTGATCATATGCTGGGGTGGGTGGAGAGTTCCTTGTGTAACAGTTTGCTTGTGGGAGTTTTTGTTTTTATTTTATTTATCTTTTTTATTAATTTTTTTCTTTTTGCTTCTGGGAGTTTTCTTGTTAGATTAGCGAAAGGATTTGTATCGACAGCATAAAGTTATTTTAAAAGAATTTTAGCTATATACATAATTAATATAAATATTTTTAAGTTATATTTGTATATTTTAGTCTGTAATATAGGTTTGTTAATTTTAACAATTATCACTATGCTTATCAAGAAATTTATATACGTATACTCGACAAATAATTTAATTGTGTAACTATTTTTGATGTAAAACTTAAATTCTAAATTAAATAACTTGCAACAATATATAATAAATATTTATAACAAGTCAAATATAGTAACTTAAAAAATAAAATAAATTATCTATTGTAATTTTTCAACAGAATCAGTATAATTTAAGTATTTAACTTGTTCATAGATAACTTATTGCACTTATTATTGATTGTTATAGGTAATTATCTTTTCTATTGATTTAAAAATTTTGTTTTCAATTTCTTGCTTTTGGTAGACTTTAGTACCCTCGGTTGCGGCATAGGGACAACATGTCTACGTTTGCGCTTATATCAGACAGAAATTTGTAAGTATAGTATATATTTTGCATATTCTTGGAATTTTTCTATTTATTGCAGTGAAGTCCTTATTTCTGCCGTTTCACTTACCTATAGAGTAAATAAATTTTATTTATAAATAAAAAAAGTATTTAAGCATATATAATGCCAACAAAATAAAGAGCATAGTAAAAAAATTAATTAGAATAATTTTAGTATTAACAAAAATTCAAAAATTTATTTACACAATTCAGAATGAAAGAAAATAAAGGTTGTAAAATATATATTCCATGCACGTAATATAAAAATAATTATTTAAATAACATTATTCTTAAAATATATATTATATATTCTTGAAAATTATGCTCAATTATATTATTATGTTTCTACTAACTTTCCGACGACACAAAGTTATGTCACTGGAAAGCAGGGGGACTATTTGTATAGGGTAAAATATGCTATGTTAAGTCATTGCATAAGAGGGTGACACGTGGAATCAAAGGCAGGGGATAACTAAGACCGAAGACAACTGTTTCATTTGTTATCGTAAAGAATGATGCTCATAAAGATGAAATAAATGTCTGACACCCGATAACATTTAATAAATAATATTCTAAAACATTTAATATAGCATTTAGTGGATTAATTGGGGGATGTAGTATTCAACCCATAGCTTTTCACATGGAATTAAAATTTATATGTAAAGGTTCATTAAAATTACAAAAATAGTAGATATGAACCTACAACTTTATAAATATAATGGGTTCAATGCTAAAAACCTTAAAATTGAAAATAATAGACTTGAAACTTGAAAGATTCACTGTTTTCAAAGGCGAAAAGCATCACAATTCACATGTGGACGTAAATGAAGAAAGGTGCAAATGATTAAAAAAAAATAAAGGAAAATAAGAGTGCAAAGTTCTACATTAAAGCCCGAAATCAAGGGATCCATCATCAATCACTCAAGTAACGGAAAGATCTGCCCAGCGGAAGAAAAACCTGTCAAAGACACAAGTCAAGGAAGATAAACGGAAACCTGACCTTATTCTTGGAAATAATCAATTTTCGATCTGGTTCAAGGATCAAGTCCTTTGGGTTTGTAATCTCTCAAGATTCATGTCAATCAAGAGTCAAGAAGGCCTCACGAAGTATATATACATCTGTTCCAGGCTTGAAGCAGGCATACACTTTGAACGAACCATTATCACTCTTTTTGTTCTACTCCAAACAAACATTGTATTTCTTTTTAGATATGCTGTTTAATTAGTGAGAGAAGAAAAAGAGATAAACACTGATGAGACATTGTATCAAGAAGAAAAAAGTGACACAGAGACTAAGCTGTTGGTGTAAAGCTGCATCAACCATCTTGTACTCGAGAAACTTCAAATACTAAAAGAGATCATCCTTGCAACCCAAGGAGACTGGACATAGGATTCACATTGAATCCACACTAGTATAAAAAATCCTGGTGTCTTTATTTCCTCCACTTTATTTCTGCATTATTATTATTCTGTTCTTATCTCTAGTCGACTAATTGGTAAACTAGTCAACTACTTAGAGTACTTAAAATAAAAGTCGACAATTCACCCCTCCCCCCTTCTTGTACTTTCACAAGCATTAATAAAAGACTTAGCTTGTACATATTTTTTGTTGCTATATCATAGTCTCTCTGTGGTCACTACTTTGAAGTGTCTTTACACAAATAGCCGCTCATATTTTCTTTTTACCTTTTTTAGTCATATACATAGATTATATATTGAATATATGCAATTAAACACATATAATATATAAATCATGTATATATTATAATTCCATCGGCTATTTTTAGTTTAAGTGGTAGGGTGGACGGCTATTTGGGTAAGAAGAAATGAGCGTGTAGAATTACAGTGAATATTCCATATCTAGTGCAAGACTACAACTCCCATTTACACTAAGAAATTCTAGTAAGGTGTAGGATATGAAAGGAAGGATAGCTGATTAATAAGTCTTACATATGAGAAAATAAAGCAGATGTAAAAGCACCCAAAAAGGAAGTCGAACATGTATTACAGGTTCTGAAATTATTACCTTAGTAGCTACTAGCAATATTAATGCTTGGAGCTATATGTTTCATGGCTTATATATATAAATTATCTAGATGATAAAAATTGGAGAAAAGAAGTCCTAAGTAGAGGACGGAGTAGCCACGGCTAGCAAAGGTGATTTCCTACTGACAGTGAGGCTACTATAGTTTCAGTCATATCCAAATCCTCCTCTCTTAATCCTTCTGGTAATGCAAAATTGAACTTGTTTACAAGCTTTGCCAATGCTAACTCAATCATAGCAACAACAAAAGTTCTTCCCGGGCAGCCCCTTCTGCCTGCTCCGAAGGGAATCAATTTAAAGTTTAGTCCTTTGACGTCAATATTACTATTCAAGAACCTCTCTGGCCGGTACTCCTCTGGATCATCCCACGACAATGGATCTCTTCCGATTGCCCAATCATTAATTATGACTTGAGTTTTAGCAGGTATGTGATAGCCTAGTAATTTTACGTCTTCTGTTGATTCTCGAAGAAGTAGTAGCAGAAACGGTGGATGAAGTCTAAGACTCTCCTTGATCACTGCTTGCAGGTACTGCATATTTCCTAAGTCATCCTCTGTTATCTCCGATTTCCCTTGGGCTAATCCTCGCACTTCATTCTATAATGTTTCGATAGCTCTTGGATGCCTGATCAGTCATTGTCCACTCTAGAGCTGTATATGTTGAATCCGTACCTGCAGCAAACGCATCCTATGCATTAGCCAGAAACAAAAAAGAAAAAAAAAACAAGCCCGACCTTGTAAGTTAGTACTAACGATAGGGGATGATGAACGCAAAAAAGTACTTGGTGTAGTCTCATCACCATTTTCTTCTCGAATTGATGTTGCNAAATCCCTTCCAAACTTAACTCCCAACCAATGTGGGACTTTGGCATTTTGCCAAACTTCAACAGCGATAGTAATTATTTTAAACATAAAATTAATACACATTTCAGTAAACCTGATCTGTCACCAAAGGATGGTAGATTGTTATGTTGAATTAAATAATGCATATATGACTAGCTATGTGGGACTACGAGATGCTTACCAAGAGGATAGCTTTCAATGAATCTCTCTGTATAAGATAGCCTGTTTCCATTCTGTTTGTTTGTGTGAGTCCACCAAACAGTAGAGTATCTGGTCCTTTACGAGATTCTGCTGAGAATGCTAATAAAGCAGTACATAAATAGCAGAGGATTTTTACGTGGAAAAATCTCACACAAGGGGATAAAAAACCACGACCTATACCTGTAGGCTTTCAACTTCACTAACTTGTAAAAACCTATTACAAGCCACTTTGCAATGACTCCATTACAAAGAATTTACTCAACTAACTTGTGGTACTCTTACCACAAGCTACTTTGTGACTTTCTAGTTACAAAGACTTTTACTAACTTGTGATTCTCTCACCACAAGCCACTTTGTAACTCTACCATTACAAAGACTTTTGCTTATGACTAAACCTAGTCACAACATAAACTCAAGGAGTTTATGGATTTACAAGAGGATTCCTAATCAAACGCTTCTAGCTAAGCAGTTTAGGAGATACAATAAGTACAATCATAAAGCTACAACTCAACTAGGACAACAACAAGCTATCTTTTAGGAACTGGTCCGTAGTTGCGTTCAACTTTGTTCTTCAAGTTTGTGAGGATTGATTTCTCTCTTTTTGGCAAGGAGCTTGAATAAGAAACTGAAACCTTCAACTGATGTTTTGTATACACTCATTGTAGGTATATCTTGATCATATCACTTAAAATGATGTGAGCACTTTAGTTGGTCAGAGAATGAGTGGGCGCTGGAGACAGTGCAGTGCGGCAGAAACAGTGCAGTCAGTCACTTCATTTCCAGTTGTGACCAATTGACTTGTACTGTGATGAGGGAACCACAAGGGTATCAGATCCTTGTTTGGGTTTCTAGATCCTGAAGTTGTAGCAGTTCACCTTTAGCTGGAATTAGTTAAGCTTGCAGTATAGTCCGAGTAGGTCAGGTTCCCTATCTAGTCCTTAACAATAAGTTTGCTAGATCATCAAAACATAAGGCGAGAACATTTAAAACCTATCAATTTTATCCTTTTTGATGATGACAAACTTAACATTTATAGAGTAGATTTAGAGCAGTAAGAACCAGATTAAGTAACAGGGGAACACGCTCTATCGTAACACATGTGTTCCCCCTAAGTTAATGGCCATATTTTTCCCCCTTTTGGCATCATTAAAAAACAGACAGAATAACAGCACAAAGAAGCCCAGCTAAGCTAACTCATGCCACAAATGTGCATACAATCATGAAAGAGAATAGAAACACAGAAGGAGAGTACTGGCGTAATAAAACAAGGATTGATATTAATAAAACTTTAATATGCCTTTGCTTTGAAAAAGCGAAAGGCAACATTGGGCTTGTTTAAACGGGAGCAGTAACGTTTCATCCCAACCACATAAAAAAAAGAAAACAAAAACATCTGCCAAAACATCAAAGAAAACTTAACAAACATTTCCAGAAACTGGTCACTGAAGGGGTACTTAGGGGGCACTAAGAGTAAAGGGATTGGAAGCTGCAGCAAGTGTTTGGAGAACGAGGTCTATTCAAGCATTTGCCGACTTTTGCTCATAGAGCAGTTCTGCTTTCAGGTTCTCTACTTGCGCCCTGAGATCAACATTCTCCTTTGTCAAACGAGTCACTTCATCACTTGACACTGGAACCACGTGGGCTTGCTGACCTTCCAGGATAGCATTCCTGACCTTCAACCGATGAATCTCCTCAGCTGCACTGTTCTGAGCATTAATAAGCCGTGAGACGGTTGATGTACTTCCTACCCCCCTATTTTTTTCTATGCACTCTTCCAAAGTTATCTGTGAGAAAGTCTGCTTCTAGTCCCCACCTGGCCTGTTCCTAGTGGGACTTCAAAGAATTTGAACACTTGAGTAAGCAGGAACCCATAAGGAAGGACATGATTACCATATTTGAAGGTGGCAACATTTTGCATGTGTTCAATCATAATAGCAGACAGACTCACAGGAGTAAAACTATCCAGTTGCTCCATCAAGAATAGGTCAGACTTAGAAGTCACTGACCTCCTCTCAGCTCGAGGCAATAGAACTTTGTTAACCAATTCGAACAACAGCTGATAGAGAGGGAGTAGCGCTTTCTTATAGATCTGGTCCCCCTTCTGCTTTGCATTGGTTTTTACCGCAGCATTTCTGAAGTTAAACTGACACACATCTTTTACACTGGACAAACTAGCTGTAGGAACTTTAAGAATCTCTCCAAGAAACTTTACATCGTACACGATGTCCACCCCATTGACCAAGGCACAAATGTGGTCAGTCTCAACTGGAAAAAGGCTAGCAAAAAAGCTTTGTACCACATCCTCATATACCTTAGGTGCATCAATTTGAAATAGATGTGCCCAGCGTTGAAACTCGACCATTTCCAGAATTTGGCGCATTCTAGCCATCTCAGAGATTGCTGGGTCAAACGTACGACCTAGTAGAACTTTTTGATGCCTCAGGCGTTCAGAGCCAAGTCTAACTTCACTTCTCATTCTCTTTATAGAACCAAGTTCTTCAAAAGGTTCAGACTTGCGTTTGCCGGAATTCTCTTCACAAAATTTTCCTTTTCGCTTGGATTTGAATAACACCTCCTCATCAGACATCAAAAACTTACTCACCACCTCCTTCATCTTAAACCTAGATATAGACCCCTTTTCTATTGAAACAGGCTTTGTCTTGTTTGAAGACCGTCTAACAAGTGAACCAGGTTCATTTGGGGTTTCCTCTTCCACCTCTACTATAGGGATCGCCTCATCACTTATAGGTACACCGTCTTTCACCAACTTTCTCCTTTTCTTCTTAGTACTCTTCTTGCTCTTTTGAAGGGCAGAATCGTATGCCACCTTAACTTGAAGCCTGGTAGTAGGTCGTTTGGTTTTAGACTCAGGGGTGGACACAACCCTCCGCTTACTTATGAATGCATCAAGAGCCATATTATCTAGGTCTTCTTCATCACTGGATCTCATTTCAGGTGCTTGAATTTCCAAGGTACAACATCGAATGCAGGAACAACACTGTCCTAGGAACGAAAGCCTTGACCTGGATCCTCCGGAGAGGGATCAGGTTCCTCATGTGATACCCCAGTAGTATCTGCTAGTGCATCCCCTTCAACAGTTACAAGGCCCCCATCTTCCCCCACACTTTGTGACTCGTTTTTCTGAGAGGTGATCTCATGCAGTACACCATTAGCAGATACCACAAACACAGTTACGATATTTTTCTCTTCCTCAAATGGTGCTACCACAACCATGGAATCGGTAGTAACAATGGCAAAATGCTTTGTGACCTCAGGGTTTTGACCTTGTTCTCCACTTGGTCTTTGACTGGTGGGAGCCTCAAACGATGGGGAGAACAGAGCAGTAGTTTTAAGGATTTCTGAAGTAGGAAAAGACTAGGAAACTGGGTGAGGTGTGACTGTAGCGGCAGGAGTAATAGTGGGTAAGGAAGGATCAGTGGGAGCAGAAGGCTCCATAGATTGATCAGTAGTAGTTACAACTGAGGCAGGGAGATCGAAAGTTGTCTCATCCATTGAAAGAAGTGGTGTAACTATGCTTTTGGGAAATTCTAATGTAAGACTTATGGTTGGGAAGAGCAGGAAAAAGGGTTTTTAAGAGGAGAGGATAATTATGAAGAGAGAGGAATAGGCACCGGTTCTGAAATGGCAGTTGGGCATGGAGAATTGCAATGTTTCAGAGGGAATGGATTGATTCGAAATGAAGAGACGTGACAGCAGGATCTGAAAAGTTAATGACATGGCAATTGTGTTTTGTACCCTTTTTAAGACGTGTATTAAAAGATGCGCAGAACTACTAACCTTTGGTACAAGAACCATGTTCTTGACCTTTTATTTCGAAATAGTCAATCCTCTTTTATCATTCACGCACTGCATCTATAACTTCTATACTCATCATGCGTGTTTACTTGCAACGGTATTGAAGTGAGTTAGACATTGCCAGAAAACACTTTTAGCCAGTTATTTCTTGAAGGTGAAAGCCAGATAAAAAGGAATCAGGTTCTCAATTGGGCTTTACAAGCCCCAGCTTCACTCTGTTTCTTTCAAAGTGTTCCCTACTTAGCGCCTTGGTGAAAATGTCTACAATTTGATCTTCTGTGATGTGGAACTTCATACATATCAGCCCTTTCTCCACATTGTCCCTTAGAAAATGATGCCTCACATCAATATGCTTTGTCCTTTTGTGTTGAACTGGATTCTTGGCCATGTTGAGTGCACTGGTGTTGTCACATAGAAGGGGCACACTCTCAGTGAGTACCCCAAAATCCTCTAGTTGTTGCTTGATCTATAAAAGTTGAGCACAACAGGATGCTGCAGCTACATATTCAGCTTCAGCTGTTGAAAGAGCCACTGAATTTTGCTTTCTTGTGCCCCAAGAGATAAGACATGAACCTAAGAAGTGAGCGATTCCAGAAGTGCTTTTCCTGTCTACAAGATAACCTACATAATCTACATCAGCATACCCAATCAAATTAAAACTGTCACCTGACGGATAA